AAAATGAAATCTTTGCTTTTTAACACATTACAGAGATCTTTTGCAGTATATTTGCCCAAAATGTTTTGCAGGAGCAGAAAGCCTCATTTTTCTTCCACTAAGTGGTTGGCAAGTTTGAACTACAGACTTTGTGGTTCGCTGTTCAGTGCTTAGTGTATGGAGTCACTGTGCTTCCTTGTTTTCTTATGTTGAAGTATAATTCATACTGAGAGCCATAGTCTTTCATTTTCATTTATAAGTACTTCAAGGAGCTCTGGTAGCATAGTGATTACGAGTCAGGCTGCTACCCTCAAGGTCGGCAGTTGGAAACTATCAGTTGTTTCACGGGAGAAAGATGAGGCTTTCTGCTTTTGTAAAATTTTGCAGCCTTGGAAACCCTATGCAGGGTTGGTTGCCATGAGTCGGAACCTACTCCATGGCACATCACCATCACCACCAGGCCCTCTCTGCTTTCAGCAAGCTAGGTTATGCTATCTGCATATATTAGGTAGTTTGTGAGTCTTCCTCCAGCCCTGATGCCACAGTCTTCTTCGTATGACCCAGCTTTTCAATTTTTGGTCAGAATACAGATGGAAAAATATACGAATAGATGCAACCCTTACTTACACTTTTCCTGATTTTAAATCTTATAGTACCTCTTGTTCTGTTTGAACTACTGCCTCTTGGTCTATGTACAGATCCTGCCAAGCATAATGATGTGTTCTGGAATTTGCATTCTTTACACTGTTTATCCATCATTTTCTATGATCCCCACACTCTACATTGAACTCTCAATTATAGTGATTTGAAAAATAATCTGAATTTACTATTTATTTTGGTGTCATGTAAAGTCAACCTTTAGATGGTCCATTGAGTCTAGGTGAATCGGAATCTATGTATGCTAAATTTAAAAACAGGTGGAAAATTACTATGATATAAAGATGATCAAAGAAGACTGTTAACTGAGATATCACAAGACTCATATATCATATTTCCCTGCAAGTTATCTATTATTTTGTAAATGCAAGTAAAGCAACTAAAATTTCAAATAATTTTTCTTTGGAGATTTTTAGATGGTCTGTTCTAAGCCTCTGAGTGCATTAAATATGTTTATTTTAAATATATCTTGTTCATTAAGAAATAGAAGAAAAGAGATATTTACATAATTGTATCAACCACCACCAACAGAATCCGATCATAGTAAAAATATCTAGAAAGAATTTAGGCAAAATGATTTAGATACATACTTTCTTATAGAAATAAACTTACTTCAGAATTACTATGCTTGTAAGGGGATTAAACTGTGTGTGTATAATCCAAAAGATACCACAAAATTCTTACTTTATAAAGCCTCCTTCAATCTAGGCAGTTACCCTGAAATTCCAAAAGAAGATAATTCCAACTGTTGGTATTTCTCTCGTCTTTGGAACTTCTTAAATGTGGACACCAAGGAAAAACAATTGTTGCTAATAGCAAGAGAGTAGTTAGACTTGTGTTACAAATGTTACAAATGTCAGCACATAGAATGTCCTGAAAGAGAAAAAAGGGAGTTAGAGGGTCAAAGAAAATAACTCAATGTAGCAAATATTCATTGAATATCTATGATTTGTGAGACTATTTGTCTTTCCCCATTTATCTTATTGACATCCATATGGTGAATTATAAATTCCATCAAATATCGACTTCCAAATGATGATATTGTTAGTTGTTAGCTAATGAGTTCAGGCTCCTTACATATAAATGAATGCTAAATTGCCTAGTCCTGAGCCATTGTTGTGATCTCTGATATGTTTGAGTCTATTGAAGTTTTTGACTCCTAACAATAGAATTTGGATAATTACTGATTTTTTAAAATTTGTTTTAGAGAAATGTTTCTGGAAACTTATTTATGTGTGATTTAATGCAGATGGGCTTAAATATTATGTAGAATTCTCTCCTAACATTACTAGATTTGTGATCTCTTGGGAGTAGTCAAGGCACTGAATTAGAAGGAATTATAGACTCTTCTTCAATACTGTAGATAAAAAAACATCATGAAATTACTGTTGAAATTTCTTTGAAAATTGTGATCTTCATGGTGTTCTCAATATTGCGACAAAAATGATTCTTTGATACCTATAGGGCTTCGTTGCCCTCTGTGTTCTTAATTATCAAATAAATTAAGACACATGAAAGTTTTTTTTTTGTTGTTTGTTTTTTTGTTTTTTAGCTCTCAGTTAATACAATGTCCTTTAAATTATAAATTTTTAATTCTACATCATTTTATACTGTAGCTTACTTGAAGAAATGCCTTATAGTATCTAATAATGGCATTTTCACATATATTATTTAATCATTTCCTATAGTTAAAACTCATTACATTACAATTCTATAACATACCCACACAGAAGAACATAGTATGACCATACAAATTAAATGAGTAAAAATAGATAGTTCTTAAAAATAGAAAATGATAGTATTTAATTTTCATGTTAATAAATATGTAGCATTTGCATTAACCAAAATTATGTAGTCCTTTTACCTCTATGATTGAAATGTCAGCCTGAAAACACATACATAATGAGAATTTTACCTTTTATTCTACCATGTAGTTTTACACTAATGCATTATGAATTTGCAATCACAAAGCTAAATATTTTTTTTGAAAATGGACTATTAAAATTCTAGTAATCTAGAACCATGAATTGGGGTAAACTTAAAACTAAGTATCACCTTCTATCAGTCTATATTGTATCTTTTGTATCTGTAATTATACATATCCTTTCTCTTACTCTACTTAAAAAAAAAAATTAAACACACAAACTATTCACAATCATATTCTCTCACTTTCAAAATACCTGAAACCATTATTGCTATGCAATTTTGATGGAAATAAATAAAACTTTGCATCACATGGTCTAGTAATACATTAGTAATAATATTATAACATGTTACATTACATCTGTGTAATGCATTTAGCGCTATAAAGTATTCTGTGCTTTACTATTTGATAAATAATATTGCTTTAAACCTTTTCGTCTGCTTCTCAGTCTGATAATTTTTTTTTTCTAAAGCAAAATCTGTTGTAAATAGCATTTTGAGTACAATTTGAAGAAAATGGATTCATGGGACACTTGGTTTCATTTGTTTCTTCCTTAAAGGCAAAAATAGCTCCCTTTTTAAGAACAAATTTTCATTTTTTTTTATTTCATTTTTTATATTTTCAAAATAATGTTGTTGTTAGGTGCCATCGAGTCAGTACCAACCCAAAGTGACCCTATGCACAACAGAACTGAACACTGCCAGATCCTGGGACAATCTCACAATTGTTGCCATGCTTGAGCCCATTGATGCTGCCACTTTGCCAATCCATCTCTCTGGGAGTCTTCCTCTTTTTCTCTGACCCTCTGCCTTACCAAACATGATATCCTTCTCCAGTGATTGATCCTTCCTGTGAATAAATTGACAGTTGCAGTTTCCTTGAAATGTGTTTTATTAATTTCAGGTTAAGAACATTTATAACAAAAAACAAGTTCTTCCCCTTTCACCTTTACCCCATCAACGTCCTATTTATTTTATTAATTGAATAAATCCTCATCAATATTGTTACAAATTATACAATATAAATACTCAATTTAAATATTCTTGTATTTATATAAAGGAGCTCTGGTAGCGTAGTGGTTACGAATCGGGCTGCGAACCCAAGGTCAGCAGTTCGAAAGTACCAGCTGCTCCGTGGGAGAAAGAGGAGACTTTCTGCTCCTGTAAAGATTTACAGCCTCGGGAATCCTGTTCAGGGTCGCTATGGGTCGGAACCGACTCGACGACATTTAACAACAAATATTTATATAACATATGTCTATAGAATATACTAATTGTTTTTATAAACTGAACAATTTTATAAGTACCCCAAATATTTCATGGGAAGTTTGATTTTCTTCAAGAAAATTTCATGAATTTTTTTTTTATTCAGCTGAGTCCTATTGTCATGCCATAATTAGTATACTTATGCTCAGCATGGTAGGTTTTTGTTAAGTATCTTCAAGTCAAGTCACTTCACACTTATAGGGATTCCGTATAAGGCTTCCAGGGAACAGCTGGTGGCTTTGAACCACTGACCTTGAAATTTGGAGTCCGGCATAGTATTGGTTGAAATATTGAGATTTTTTCCCTTCTGCCTTCCTGCCTTCTTTCCTGCTTGCCTGCCTGCCTTCCAATTAAATGTAGATTTTAGTTTCAACTTCTTAAAATACTCTATGAACTATGGTGTGTGATTCTCTTGATTTAGCGGATATGGAATTTCAAATTTAATTTACATATAAAATATAAATGATAATGTAATAAAATACCTCATTAAAATTTTGTTCAGGAAAGTCATTCAAAAGTAAGATGTTCCAAGCCATAATCCATTAAACACTTCATTGAGCCAATAATCCCAAATCATTTATAATGCTTTCAGTATCTTTTAAATGTAATCTTTAAATTAACCACTCACTAATTCATTTGTGGTATTTATTTGTATTTTTATAGTAGTGATGATTTGAGAAGAGGGACATTTTTGTATGTAACAATATACTATTTCCAAGACTGGCAATAATTCTAGTCTTGAGTACAGAATTTTCAAGATTTGATATGAAAAGTAGTATATTATATCTGATATGAAAAGAATAGAGGAGAATTTTTTTGAAAAACATGCACAGAAATTATCTTTTGAATTTCTTTAGAACTTGAAAAAGGTTACATTGTCAAACACTTTTTACTAAAACTAGTATATCATTTCTAAGAAAAAATCAGAGTTATTGATGAAGAATCAAATCTTTGAATCTAGAAAGCAATAATTTAAAATGAACACTGAAACACTAATTTGAATGACTTTCCTGAACAACAACAAAAAATGAATATAATGAAAACCAAAGATTTATATACTGAGGTAAAAATTCATAGTGATAAAGAATGGAAAGGATCTATGTAGAAATTGAAATCTTCACAAAAGATGTATTCAGAAGGTTCTGTGTTTTATTTTGGGATTTCTGTCATCCTAGGTATTTTGGAAATATTTGCTGTGTCTCAGGGGATTGTAGGAATACGAGGAGTTTTCAGCAACAAATTTTTAGCGATGTCAAAAAAAGGAAAACTCCATGCAAGTGTAAGTAGAACTGCTTTATATTTGTTAACGATGTTATAGAGATTTTACATTTTTTAAAACAGAATGAAGTGATTTTCAAAACTGGTAGACACAACAGACTTGTTGTCTAGAGAATAACAACAAAAACAACAAAATTAAGCACATTATGTATATTGAACCGATACAATTGCATGTGATTTTGCAAGTAATCATGCAAGTATTTTATTTGCATGTAAAGATACTTTGAAATTTACACAAATTTCAAGGGCAAGTCTATTTGAAAATAATTATCATTGTTTCTTAAAAATGGTCCAATTAAAGAGTAAATATTGTGAAATAATACATTCAATAATATTTAAAATTTACATGTTTATGGTAATTTTATCATATGTGTTAGCATGCAATCCTGGTTGCTCAGTGGTTAAAGCACTCAGCTGCTAACCAAAAGATTGCTGAATGGACCCACCAGCCACACCATGGAGAAAGATGTGGTGGTTAATTTCTGTATAGATTTACATACAGCCTGGAAACACTATAGGGGCAGCTTTACTCTGTACCATGCGGTTGCTAAAAGTTAGAATTGACTTGACAGCAGTGAGTTTGAATTTTGGTTTGGTGTTTAATAAAGTTCTTATTGAATCCTTATAAGTTATTAATGATATAAAAAACTATACTTACATAAGACAACATATTTTTATATTAGCAACTATGGGAGGAAGAACTCAATAATGAGAGGACTCCAGTCTTCCACACAGAGCTTTCATTTGAATCAATTGATGAATTCTCATCCTGTTTGTTTATTCAATGAAAAATAATACTTTTCAACTCTGTGAGATCCATTGGTCAGCATTTATCTTAAGACAAAGAGGAGAAGCTAAGGAGGGACAGGGAAGGTAGGTTAATGGAAACAGAACAGAAAGATGGAAACAATGAGAATATTGACACATTATGGAGAACACAACTAGTGTCATGGAACAAGTAAAAATTATTAAGTGGGAACCTAATTTTCTATGTAAACTTCCACTTAAAACATAAGAATGTGTTTTTTAAAATCACTTCTTTAAACTATGAAGGTAAATTTTATACTTTTAAAATCTTAAGAACACTTTCACATTTAATTTAATTCATAAACTATAAATTTTTATATTTGTCTAAGAAAATGCCAGTATCTTGAAGTATTCAAATATCTTAAAGATAATAGAATATGTTCCTTTGTTTTCCTAGTCACAAATTGTCTTTATTTGTATTTGTATTTATCACTTCAAAGACATTTATGCTTTTTTCTGTAGTGTACTAGATTTCGTCACCTTAAATCATCAAATAGGCAATTTTAGCCCTTTAATCCTTGTACATACGCTTTGATTCTTACTAAGTGCATTGGGCAAGTATTACTTTTCCAATTTCTAAAGTGTATTTCAAAACAAAAAGCTCACTGGTGTTGAAGTGATTCTGACTCACAGTGACCCTATAGGATAGAGTAGAACTGCCATATAGGGTTTCAACAGCTTTTCATCTTTACAGAAGCAGACTGCATCATACTTCTCCCAAATAGTGGCTGGTGGGTTCAAACAGCCAGTCTATTGGTTATCTGCTGAGTGCTTTAACCACTTTACCACTAAGACTTCTTTCTTTAAAAATTGATTTGCTCTGTAAGCCTTCATCCAAGTCACAATAAAAAGTTTAATAATAAATAAATAAATAACGTCAAGATATGTGTTCAACAGTATGCTGTTGTTAAGAGCTTCCGAGGCTATAAACTTTTGTGGTGGTAGAAACCCTTATGTTTCTCCCATGGAGGAGCTAGTGGTATCAAACTGCCTACCTTGTGGTTTGAAGTCCAATATTTATCCAACAGAGCCACCACACTGATATATTAAATAATATAGTAAAATGCAAGTAGAGAAATGAAATCAGAAAACCAAGGAGAATAGAATATCAAGACAGGCAGAGAATTAAAATGCATTCATAAAAACTTGAAAATTAAATTGTTGTTGGTGGTGCCATCCAGTCGGTACTGACTCATAGCGACCCTATGTACAACAGAACGAAACACTGCCCGGTCCTATACCAACCTTACAATTGTTGCCGCTCTTGAGCTCATTGATGCTGCCACTTTGCCAATCATCTTGCTGGGGGGTCTTCCTCTTTTTATCTGACCCTCCACCTTACCAAATATGATATCCTTCTCAAGCGATTGGTCCCTCCTGACAATGATTCCGAAATATGAGAGGTGAAGTTTAATAAGGCATTTTAAATAAGCATACAATTCATTGGAACTTACTACTTTAAAAGCCTTTGAAAATTCAATGAAAATTTCATTAAAGTGTAAATTTTTTACAGTTTTAATGTTCTTTATCATCTGAGCATAATTCGCTAAAAATTCTTGGAGGCGATATTAGAATTCAAGCTATTTCTATAAGTAATTTGAGGATTAAATAACATAATAAATAAGTAAATTACTTCCAACGGTGTTTTGTATACTGTTAAATGCCTAATAAATATTACTTATATTTATATGATCAAATATAATGTATGTCAATAATTTCATAAAATCTAAGTTTATTAAAATAAATGAAAAATCATTGTTAAGGTCTTTAATCTCCCTCTGCAACTATTGTAAAAAAAAAATTACCTATTTGATTTTCTGAAATTATATTCTAAAAAGTTATAATATAATACTCATTAAATAATTGTTCTTAGATTTTTTTTCCATTTATTTATTTTAAGGTGTGAAGTTCTGCCTTGCTGGAGAAAAGTAGTATATGAATTAATATTAATATTTTGTTTTTTAAAATAAAAACTACACACAGGCTAGAGAACAATATATCTGAAAACAAAACAAAACAAACTTTACATCATTCTATTTTGAAGTTTCAAAAATTAAAGAATCTTTGAAATTTAAACAGCTTAAAAATATAAAATGCATGTGAAACAACCTTTCGCTTACTAATTTTTTGGTTTTGAGTAACTATCATGTTTATTTCCTTATTCTCTGATTTATACTCAATGCATGTGCAAAAATAGACTATCCTTGGATCAATTTAGGAATAATTGCCATAGAAAGAGAAGTATTACAAATGGATGCCAATTAGAAGGGTCAAACCAAGAGGTTAGGATACGTGATTCCTCTGTCAAATGCAAGTAACAAATTTCTAGAAATTTGACCCAAATGTCTAAGGATGACTGGCTGAAAAAATGCAGATAATGCAAAAACAGCATCTGTTATTCTTTCTCATCTTGGCAGGCTAAAGTTATTTCATGGGATAATGACTTTTACACAGTACAAAGCAAGTCTTGCTCTTGTCACTCACCAAAGCTCTTTTATATAAAAGTCATTCTGATGACTTTGAGTTGCATTGTAGATAAAAAATTAAGCCCTACAATTATATGGGTGCTTTTAAAACCAATTGTCCAAGTCCACTTTCTTTTGTCTGAGCTTCTATTAGCACTTTTTCTCTAAATGAAAACAATTAAATTAAAAAGTGTTTATTTTAAGGATACTGAATTTAAAATGATTATTAATCCTAGCAATGATTAGTTTGTGCCCAGATGGTTTCTTTCTTGTTTCTAGTTTCTAGTTAAACATCATGATTTTTTTCTTGTAACTTTAAATATTATTGTTTGATTTTTACAAAATTATATAATTGTCAAACAAAAATTCATTATACTCCAAGAGTTAGAAGTACTATTTTGAGCTATTTAGTTTTTTATGAGTTATTTTAAATTACTGATTACTAATATAAAGGTTACCTTTAGGATTTTATCTATTATATACATGTGAACTAAACATATAAAGTATTGATACAATTCTGGGGAAAATAATTCCAAAATTGTACTGAAATATATTCATAGATAATTGTAGATTTTCAAGTTGTTTTTTATAGGAAAAAACAGAATATTATAAATTACTTACTAGGTCTTTAAAAGTTCTTTCACTAACATTATTTCATTAGATAATTAGGTGAAGAAAGAGTCTTAGACATGTTAACTTACTTTCCTAAGGTCACACAGTTAACAAGTTATTCATCCAGCGCTAAACTTTTCACTATTTCTTTTAAACGCTATACTAGTTGCCAAGGAAAAGTTAGCTTGGGCAAAAATAGTAATTTTGTTTGGAACCAATTATATTGTTTTACTCTATTCTTTTGTGAGAATAAATTGCATCATCTAATAACACTTTTATGTAACACTTAAAAAAATGAATACAGTGATGTGTCCTTAGAATATTTGTAATACTATTCAAACCCACCAGCTGCTTCTCAGAAATCCTATACAGGGTCGCTATGAGTCAGAACCGACTCGACAGCACTTCACAACAACATTTGATAGTTACATAAATAAGCAATTTTGGATTTGTAGTAAATTTCTACAAATTTGCAAAGTTCTTTTTCGTTTCCTTTCTAGTTGCTTACTCTCTGTTTCTCTTTTACAGCACTTTTTATGCATCTACTTGTGTTTCTCCTGTACTTAATTTTAAAGTCTAGATAAGACAGGCCATGCCCATTACAGGATTTAACAGTTTTATAAATGTTCCTTATTCAATATGATGATAAGTTGCATAAAGAACTTTCAAAAGGGAAAAAAAGAGTCTGTTTTGTCCACAGAAGATCACCTGATAAATACCCTGTGGTCAGTGGACACAAATATGACAAACAAATATCTGTCCAGAATGGTTAGATTTAGGCAAAGTTTATGCTGGTTTTATTTTTGTGCTACCATTGTTAATTTAATTTAGTAAGAGAAGTTTTATTTGAACTCCATCTCTCTACACGTCTTACTCCCTACACTCATTCAAGCCCATCTTCTACCTGTTGTTCTTAAGTGAAGTCAAGTCGGTTCTGACTCATAGTGACCCTGTACAGGGTTTCTGAGGCTGTAAGTCTTTATGGGAACAGAAAGCCTCATCTTTCTCCCGCAAAACAGCTAGTAGTTTCAAACTGCTGACCTTAAGGTTCGCAGCCCAATTTGTAATGACTACACTACCAGAGTTCCTTGTACCACTCCTTGAAACTGCTATTGTT